GGGAGGGCGCCGGGCTCGCCGCATCCGCGCGCTTGGTGCCGAACGCTCCTGTTTCCACCCGGAGAAGCGCAGCGTCTTCAGGCTCGTGGAGGACAACCCGAATCTCCTGCTTCCTGCCTCGAGAAGGTTTTTTTTTTTGACGTTTTTTTCCCCCTTTTTTTCCCATGATCCTGCCATGGCTCCCGCTGGCTCTGGTGCTGCCGCAGCTTCAGCGGAGCCGCCGGGAAGGAGCCGCCGGCAGCCAAGCCAAAGAGCCCCAACGTCCCCATCAAGGCCAGTATGGGAAGGGAGAATTTAGCAATAACCAGGCTGGGAAGCGCCTGGGACAGTGGGCAGGGGGGAGGACGTCACATAGAGGCTGCAGGGACAGGGCAAAACGCCCCCAAAAACCCTCACCCAAGCAAACCAAAGGAAAATGGGAAAGAACGGGTCAGCTGTAACGCAACCGCACCAACATCTGCCGAACCCAGTCTTTAAGTAGGTGGAGAACGCATAGACAAGTGCATAGGGGTAGGTATGTCTAGATACGCCTGGATCTTATAGACCCACGTGCATTTTCCTTGCGTCCCAACCCCGTTCCTGCTCCCGGACACGGGAGCCCCATGTTTTGCCAGGCAATATTTTTACGCGGTGTTCAGCAAACCGACAGCCAAAGTTTTGCCATATTTTGATACACCATCCTTTTTTTTTTTTAACTGGAAACTTTTTCTTAAAAAAAAAAGAAAAAATATTTTATAAATAAGCACAATCTTATTTTTATAGGAAACGGTGGGAGAGGGAGGGGAGAGCGGGAGGAGGGGGGATTCAGTGCCAAAATGGAGCTCTTGGGGTAGTGCTCGGGATCAGCATTGGACAGGGTGCACGGGCCCCTTTTGCTGCCACAGGCTCTGGGACGAGATATATATTTATTTATATAAATATATATACACAGTGGGCAACCACGGAGGGATGTTACAGGGTGCCTTGGCACTATTGCTGCCCCACTTGCATTTTTTGGAGGAGAAAAGGAGGAGAAAAGTCCCAAGGTGGGGAAAACACCCCAAGTTCATCACCAGGATTTTTAATGGCTAATTCCGAGGTGATTTGTCCCCTGTCAGCCTGTGCACGAGGCCACTGCATCCCGCTGCATCGCAGGGGCAGCAAGCCCAGCGCCAGCCCCAGCACCTGACTCTCTTGCATTATTATTTTTTTAATTATTGTTATTTTTTTCCATATCTTCTGCCTCATTCCCAAGGGCCGGGCACCCGTGCAGCTTGGTGGGCAGTGGGGCTGGGGGGCCCCAGGTCCTTTAGCACTTAGAGCTGCCCCTGGCTTGTCCCCCTTAGTCCTTTCCGTGAAAGGCTCTTTCCAGCCGGACTACTGCCAAGGGGAAATGGGAGGGGGGAAAAAAGGCAAAAAAGGGAAAAATGCACCCCTCCCAGCGCAGTTTTTTTTTTTTTGTGCCGCTGGCGTTTGCCGGGTGCCTGTCGCGGTGCGGCTGAAAGTGCCAATAAAGTTCCCTGTGTTTGCGGTGCTCTGCCTCTTAGCTGAGGGGAGGGCTGCGGGGGGGAGGAGGGAAAATAAGGGGGAAAAAAGGGGGGAAAAATGAAAGGTGGGGGCTTTGCCTTGCGCCCATCCATGGCTTCCTTGCTGCCTCCTCTTCCTCGGCCCCGGTTTCACCGGGAGAGGCCGCTGGGTCCCGGCTGTCCCAAGCGTTGGC